CCATTCAGATACGTACACTGAATGATCTCGATCGACGAATACGTATGTGGGGCGAGAGAGTTGATCGAGACGATTTCCACGTCCATTGCCACCTGCAACCACTGTTCCTTGAGATTCTCCTCTTCGATATCGTCTCACTTCATCTTTTCCATCATCAGTGACATAGAGAGATCCATTCTCGTCCATTGTCAAACCCACACATAAGATGTTGGAGATGATTGTTTCTCCACTTGTCCCATTTCGACGAGGCCATCGAACCACTCTTCTATTTGAACGATCGCATATGATGAGACTATCTCTTTCTTTGTCGATAATCACATCATATGGGTAATTCAATTGATGATCTCCACTTCCTTGTCCATTTCCACCAGCAACCACTTGGCCACTTGTTGCACCTCGTTTCCATTCCACAATACGATGATTCGATGTATCAGCAACATAGATTGTTTGATCATCATCAACATACAAACCACATGGGTCTGAGAGTTGATTGATTCCATTGCCTCGTCGATTTCCTCCAACCACAGTGATACCATTTTGTTGCCATCGAGCATTCGGATGAATGTTGGTGCTGAATGGAGAACGTAATGAATAGTCTAAAATAGAGACAAGAAAAACTATAAAATGAGAGAGAGAGAGAGAGAGAGAGAACTTTTTCTTCACGGAAATCGGATTTTCTACTACACGAGAAATCTGTTTTAGTCAAACTCTAAACTTTGTGAAGAGCGATCATTTTGTTTCAACTATTTTGTTGAATTGAAAGTTATTCATTGGAATTTTTTCGGTCAGTTATCCATTATTCCTTCATTTTTCTGTCAGACGAGCTCTTTGTCTGATATTCTTCTCGAGCATAGATTAAGATGAAATAGAGAGTCATGCGTATGATCGATTGTCAATGCGAGTAATAATCGAGTGTTCTTTTATGAAAACTCAATATTTGCTATTTAGACAATGCTCAATTATAGATTGTTCTACAATGACTGCACAGTTTTGGTCTCTATCCATCATTTATTATGCATATTTTCAAAGTTAGTGACTTGTTCAACCTTTTGAATTGAAATGACATTTTCGGAACAGTGGCACCGTCAATCAAAGCTTTTTCAAAATTAATCTATTGAAAAAATTTATTTCATTACTTGAACAAATTCATTCTTCGAGAAATCATTGCCTGTATTTTGTTCATCAAGCACTTTCGTTTTACTGAGATCGTGGCAAATCTTGAATTATTAATACATTTTACAAAATCTCTAATGATTGAATTCTGTTTCTTGTCGAAAATAACCTACCACACATGTTGAAAAATCAGAAATCAGAAATTTACTAGTATGAAAAATTGTAAATAATCATAAGAAAAGCAGATATTAGACATCAAAAATTAGACATCTTCCTTCCATGATATTAGTACTTTCATGGATACAGTAGTAGGTACTATTCGTTTTATTCTAATGCTGCATTCCCATGTGAAAATTTTTGCCTTTGTAAGTTATTTGCAAGCGGCTTAAAAAGGCTTTCGCTTCAATAAGCTGCTTATTTTAGCAGCTTAGAGAGCGGTTTTTCTAAGCACTTTCTAGCGCTCACCAATAAAACTGTTTAAAAGTGCTGTAAAGTTTCGTTTTTCTAAGCGCTTTTCAGCGCTTACCATTAAAATCGCTAAAAACTGCTGAGAATTTTCATTTTTCTAAGTGCTTTTCGGCAGTTACCATGAAAATCGCTTAAAAGTGCTGTAGATTTTGTTATATCTAAGCACCGTACAGCACTTACATGGAAAATCGCTGACAAGTGCTGTATATTTTCTTACACTTAAGCACAGCGCATGACTTGTAGCAAAAAGCGCTGCTCAGTCCGACAAGACTATAGAAGAAACATGTAAAAACGCGCTAAAAGGGTGAATGTGGATGTGAGAATATATGGGTGGACTAAGAGCGAAGGAACACACACACGCTAAATATACTTGCTATAGAGATGAACGTTATGGGTACTATGTATTAGAATATATTTTAATATTAAGAAAGAGAGAAATAGTTGCATAACAAAAAGAGCGAACACAGATGAATTAGATCGAGTTTAACCTAATTGAAAAAATCATTGACTAAGGTTGACAGGCTATGGATGATTTATGTTGAGACAACGACTCAATTAAGTCCTCCTCTGTAGCGATTTAGCATAAGCTGCCTTTTCATTTTTAATAAAACTTTTAATGATCCATAGTTAGAGTATTATTTTTATAATATGTTTAATTTATTCAAAGAATTAGATTTGAAAAGAACAAAATAGTTCGTGTTTTTTATTGCTTTCACATTACTTCACTCAATTTTTCTTTAGTTATTGATTTTTTGCATAGGTCACCAAGAAATGTTCATTACTCAATTCCAAATAACAGTTCGAATATGAATACATTCGCTCAACGAATAATAAACTTCAACAATCTTACGAGGGAACATTCCCAAGTGATACCCGCCGTTTCAGCTCATATTGTGCCCAAAAGTAGATCTCGGTAAGACTAGAGAAAGTCTAAAAGGGTTCGTGCCATTGCGCCTTTGGAGCCGAGTTATGCCTAATTTAC